AGCAAGGGGCATCTCGGGTTCGTGGGTGAGGGCGGTTGCAAGGTCTTTGTGGCATACTCGTTTGATGCGGGAGATGAACGCAAAGTCGGGAATGACGGTGTGGGGGAGGTGGTGGCGGAGGGAGCGGACGTATTGGACGAAGCGGTCCATGGGACCGGTCTGGCGGAGGTGGCAGAATTGTTCAAGGTAGTTGTCAATGGTTTTCTGGGGGTGGAAGGTGGCAGTGAGGAGGTTGGCCTATTGGAGGAAGGTGTGACGTGGTGTTTCGGAGGCTCGGCGGTTGCTAACTTCAGCCATCCACCATTTGGCTGCATTGTCGAGGAGGCGGGAGGTGGCAATGGGGAGCCAGTGGGCAAGGGGCATATGGTGGAGGTGAAAAGAGTTATGAAGCTGGGTTAGGAAGAGGAAAACGTCCTCGTGGGGGAGGCCGGAGAAGGACATGATTTCGCCAGATCGGAAGGAACGAGGGATTTCCCCGTCGCGGTGAACGATCTGCGTGAAGGTGTTAAAGCTGAGGTTATCGGGGGTGGTGTCATAGCAGGTGTGGTCGATTTGGTTGTTGTCCGCAAGGAGGTAGTTGGGGGGGAGTTGTGGCATTGTGGGGTAAACCCCGGAGGTGACTTGGGAATAGGTGGGAYGGATGGTGGGGATGGTGGAGGTGGTCATGATGGGTTGGGAGAGGGTTTGAGAGTGCGGGGGGGGAAGAGGGGTGTCGTGGATGGGCGAGGAATAAGGCGGTGTGCTGGATGCGCCGGATGAGGGAGGAGGTGGAGGGAACGGAACGATGGTGGAGGTTGAAGGGTTGGTGGATGTGGTGGTAAAGGTGGTAGGAGTGGAGGAGGTCGGCGGGGGGGTGTTGCTGGAGGCGGCTGTGGAGGAGGGAGTGGTTTGCGTTGTGGAGGAGGGAGTGGTTTCCGCGGTGGTGATGACCGTGATGGAGGGGATGGTCCCTTCGATCGTGGTGACACGGTCGCATATGGACGACATGTTGGCTTTTATGTAGTCGAGAGAGGCGGTGACGGAGGTTCGGAGGGTGTTGAGTGCGTGGAGGATGGTGGAGAGGTCGGGGGTGGCGGTGTTTGCTGGTGGTTGTTCGCCTGCGAGGTTGCGGGCGATGCTATCGACTGTGTCGGTGTGGATGTCCGACATGTTGATAGAGGATGCGGCCATGTCGGGGGAAGGGGGGGTGGAGGACGTGGCCTGAACGGGTGTGGAGGATGCAACAGCGGCGGCGTCGACGGCACGTTGGGAGTTCTTGGTTCGGCGTGGTGGCATGTGGAGATGGGGGGAGACAATCCCTTATAATTTGAAAATAAATGAATAAATAAAGATAATTGCCAAGATTTTTCAAAAAATAAACGTTGAACAGAAAGAGATAATTAATTTCGAAAAATAAATTTTGATTTAGATTTAAACTTATTTACAAAAAAACGTGAAATTTCGAAATAAAATATTTTTGAATTACGGGAAAAAAAAATAAATTATGAAAAAAATTAGGAAGAGGAAATTTTTTAAATATTTGGCAAGAATTTTTCAAAAGAAAATGTCGACATTTTAGGAAAAGAATAATTAATTTCGAATAAAGAGATTAATTCAGTCGTGAATTAATTGAATTTAGTTGAAATTAATTGAGGGGTTTAGAATAACATTTTTAAAAGAAAAGTACTTCTGAATTGTAAAAAGAGTTTCGAAAATCAACAAAAAATGCGAAAAAAAAATGTGAATTAAAATACTGGGAAAAATAATTAATTAGAATTATTTTTAAATTTCCAAAAAAAATATAAAAAAAATAATTTAATTAATTCTAACCTATTTTTAAAATTTTCAAAAAAAAATAAGTAGAAATAGTTTTTTGAAAAAGAAATGTTGAAAAAAAAATGTCAAAAAAAAGTTAAATTAATTCTAAAATATTTTCGAATTATAAAATTTCAAAAAAGAATGCATGAAATTAAATTTGTTTTCAAATTTCGAAGAAGAAATGTCGAGAAAAAAATGATTAATCCTATGTATTTCGAAAATTTCGAAAAAGAAAATACGTTTGAGAAAGAAATGAGTATTTTCGAATGTAAAAAAAAAAATAAAAAAATTAAATGGATTCTAGAAATGAATAAAATGAATTTTGATGTAAATCGAGGCCGGAGTGATCCTATCTGCTATTGATTGGGTGGTAGCGTGGTAGGTAGGGCACATGTAGATTGATGATGATGATGGTGATGATGGTAAGGGGGGGGAAATCGATCCTAACTAGATTGTTGATAGACGGGCGGGTGGGATCTACGGGTGGGGGAAGTATGGGATTGGTAGCGGGAACGAGAGCGGGAGTGGGGTTGAGTGCGGGGGCGGGATCGGGATTGGGG